CCAAACCTCTGTGCTCGTAAAGTCACACTGGCCGATGGAAACATTTTTAGGCGGCTGGGGCGGGGGGAAGGGGTTGTCTTTCCTAGCTCTTAAGGGATCCTCAGCGTTTCCTCTAACCTGAGAGTGGCCGACGGAGAAACCAGCTTTCCAAGTCCTTCCTCGTACAGTTGGATGGCACCCTAAACTCATTTGCAATCTCCAGAATTGAGTTAAATGTGGGAGAGAAACCCTGATTTCCGCAGCCAATGAGGTCTTCTTACAATGGTGTTCGATGGTTTGTTCTCCACCCCCACCCTCAACCCCCAAACTCTGCTTTATGTAAACGTATCAGACAAACTTTCGGTTATTCAAGCCTTCCTTATAATGCCATTATAAGTAGAGGTTGGAAGTATCGGGAGAAGGTTGGGGGAGGAGGCGGGTGGAGAGAGGAGGAAGAGAAAAGAATGCTCCTTTGATTAGATCCACGTTTTCCCAGGTCCATTATGGTGTGCTCTGCTCTGCGCTGCCACCTAGCGTCATCTTTTCCCCCAGCCTGAGCAATTCTGACAAGAGACCAAAAATCAGGGTTACTCAAACCATTCTCTGATAAACGTTCTCTAGAACTGCTTTTACTAGCCCTGCCTCCCTATCTCTCTTCTTTTTAAAAACAGGGTACATTTTCTGCTTAAAATATACTTGACCCATCCAAATACACATTTCCTACCTATATTTTAGTGAAGCTAAAGATGGAGCTAGTTGACAAATATTTAAGAGAATACTGGGTTCCAGATGATGGTGATGGGGGGAGGGGAGAGTACAAAAAATGGCTTAGAGTAAAATATCTGAAAATTATGTATCGTTTATAATTTCGTTTATTGTAAAGTTACTTTTATAATCATCCATGTGTATAAGCATAATACACATATGTCACTTTTCTCCAGAAATTATTGCTTTGGTACTATGAAAAAAAGAGGTTTTTACTCTCATTTTGGAAATAGCACTTCTTTCCAAATGTATCAAGGTATCAAATCTTACCAAGTCAAGAGGGAGAAATATAAAGGAAATTGGCAATGCTTAATGGACTTGGAGACACACCAAAAAAATGGCACTGGAATATACAAAGCTATAATGGTTGATTTCACTCACTTAACTCAAAATTTCCAAATGATTCTTCCTAGAACAAACCTGGAAATCACATGAACTTTTGTGGCTTTGGCCAGGCCTAACCCCTGTAGGTCTCAGTTTTCTCACCTATAAAATAAATAAAAAATATAAAATGAGGGCTGAATGAAAGGCTCCCATCCAATTCCAGGATTCTAGGTTTCTATTGATTTACACTCAAAAATAATTTATTAGGCTAATATGTATAAGATCCTGTGCTAGGCAAATAATATACTAACAAAACAAAAGACTAACAAAACAAAGCAAAATATTCTCAAGGAGCTCATATTTTACTAAATATGTAAGGATCTCTATCCTGTATATTATTGTTTGGGTTTTAAATAGAATATCAGTCAGAGTGTGTATTGTGGGGACAGGGTGGTATAGTAGGAAGAATGCTGAACTAGGAAAATATTGATGGAGTTTGAATATGGGCAAGGGATATCCTCCCTGAGCCTTTGTGTTGACATCTACAAAATGAAGATAATACATTAGTGACATCATGGGGCTGTTGTAAAGAAAGTGTTTTACCCTTTACAAGTAACTGAGATATTAAACCAAAGAGGAACAAAAATCTGGAAATCAGAGAAAATGTGAGTGAGTACTATAAAGATAGGAACTAGACCTAGGATTTCTTTAGCATAATAAAGCAACTCAAGTTTCAGAGCAATATGGGAACAGACAAGTTAAGTGACTTGAACAGACTCACACAGCCTAGTCTATGCGAGATGCAGGACTTGATTGGAGATCATATGGGTGTAGAGGCTGGATTTCTAGTCACAACACCATGTTGCCTTTTGAGTAGTATATGTTTAGCCAATTTTCCTTTAGAATTTTTTTTCTGCCATTGCTGCTATGCCATGTAAGCTACCTTTGAAGTGGAACCCTAGCCCTTATTTTCTTCTTTATTCCATATGTTTTTAGGGACCCTGGCATTTGTATGACAAAGATACGGATGAAAACAGTATTAGAAGAACCAACTTCAGTTTCATTGATATTGTGCTTATGGCTCAACTGAAATCTCTGAAGCATTTGGCTAAATTTACTAAGTGAAATGTTTTAATTAAAAATTGGAAAGATTTTACAATGAAATAATGATATTGTGAATAGAGTCAATAGTTTATCATGCACCAAAACCAGAAGATTTATATACTTTTATCTTTGCTTCCTGTCAATGGGGCTCTAAGAATAATGTTAAGAAATACATCATGTGCTGCAGAGCCAGCAGAGGGAACACTGAGTATTGATTTAGTAGGGTCTACCAAAAACAAACAAACATAAAAATCTCTGATATTTGAAGCAAAAAAAAAGTCAGAAACAGAGAAGTAGCTATATAGAAGAAGACTCTAGGTATTGGGAATATAGCTGGTTTTGTTATTCACTTTATATTCAGAGATTTATTATTGTTAATTGTTAATAAACTCAGTGGGCATAGCCAAGTGTATTCTTACATTTAAAAATATTTAAACAGTAACATTTAGAAGAGGCCTACTAAAAATATTCATCGTGTGTACATTAATTCATTAGGATGCCCAGAGGCATAGTGGGTAGTAATTGTAATCCAGAAGACCTTGGGTTCAAATCTTGCCTCTGTTGCTTAAACAGCTTTTATGACCCTTAGCAATTCTCTTATTTATACTCAGTGTAATTAAACCTACTTCCTGGATTTATCAACTATATCCGAGATGGTTGGGATTGACTTTGGTGGAAAGTATTTCCATACCTGGAGTTCCCCCCCAGAGTCACAGTTCCTTCACTATTTTGGCTATATACAGCATTCAAGAGGCAATATAATATAGTGGAGAAAGCATTGGATTTAAACTCAAGAAGTACCTTTGTTTGAGTCCCAGATCTGATACTTATTATAGCTGTGTATCTGGGCCAATCATTTAACTTGAGTCTAGGTTTCATCATTCGTATTTTGGGTATAATAATATTTGCACTACCTGATTCATTGGGCTGTTTTGAGGAAATGGTTTTATAAACCCTAAAGTACTATACAAATTACTTCCCTTAAAATCAGTAGAAACTAATTACCACTAAGTATCTGAGGGCAGAACTTTCTACTTAGTAAACATTTTCTCCTTTGTTTTGGAAAAAAAATTAAAGAAATTACTATAACTGTTTTGGTTAACTCTTTTGTATATCAAATCATGGGAGGATGAACAGTTTGGAAAATATTTATTATATTGACACTTCTACTGTATAATTATCATCAGGGAATGAGTACCACAAATCAGTCTGTGCAAATTCCTAAAAAACATAGTTTCCTTTGCCTCTTTTTGGAGAAAGGAGTGATGCAGTAGCACTGGTGTGATTTTTTAAATGTCTTAGAACATTTCCTATTTGTAATGGAATCACAGGAAAAACATCCTTAATTTTTATTTTTTGGACACCTCAAAACCCATCATGTTTATGGTAACATCCACTCACTGCTTCTTAGCTGGAAATCAATGCAATTATATGACAATGGCATTTCCCTCTCCTGAGAACATTATATAATCATGACAACTATAGGTCAATAAAGTGTTCCTCTCATGATGCAAAATACAGGTTAGTGTTAATTCTGGCACCCCAATCCATTTTGCCATCTGACATATTTAACAAGTTTAACAGGAGGGATAAAAATCCATTTTTCTAAGGTGAGTTCAACCTTAATCAAGTGGCTGGCTCATAGGCCTTTGGAATAGCCTGGCCTACAATTGCCATGTAGCAAATGAGTTTACCTGTAATAGTAATTGCTGTGGTAGAATAATTATAATTAGAATTCTTACTTTCAAACTCTGGACTAGTAATAATTCTTGTGACTGCAGTGATATTTGTTCATTACTAGTCTATGGTTGCCTAATAGGCATCCCTGTCATATGATCTGTAGCAAACAATATATTTTACATCTTTCCAGTTTTCTTTACAATTAGTGAAATGAAGTGGCAGGGAGTACTGTCCCTAGGTGGCTTCACATTTACTCATTATAATCACTTTCTTCCTTAATTCTCATCCTTAGTTTTAACCAGTTGAAAAATCTGCTAGTGTTTTTGGATGGCTATCTTTGACTTTGGAATAAACAAGCAATTAATTGATGGGGGGAGTGGGGGAGGGAAGACCTTGAATCAGGAAGATGTGTATGAAGTAGGAACATTTAGAATAAATGGAAAGTGACCCGTATTTCTTACTCATTTCTATCCTGTGCAAAACTCAATGAAATTTCTCCCATAGAGTTAATTATATAGGAACTCTAATGTGTTCCAACTGAATGTGGCTGAAAGCTCCTCTGTTTTGGTTATCGAGGATTTATCTGGGAGATAAAATCATTAAATAACCATATTTAACCTGTTTGGTTAAGAAAGCATACACTTATTACAAAAATCCCACCTCTCTGCCTTTTACAAACAGCATGCAAATTGTTCTGAGAGGATTTACACAATACATCCACATCTGTGCCATACCTAGAGTTGTTAAAATAATGGTGATGACAGGTGTCTGGGTGCCACTTTCTTAATGGTTTTCAATATAATCAATTTATTATTGTCTTTTCCCTTGCCAACCCCCCCCCCCCGCCTTTATGAAGGAGCTTCTCCCTGCGAGGAACAGATTTTACACTCCAGGCTGATTCTTTATTCCAGTGCTGAAAAGACCTAATACAAATGATCACTTGGCTTTTAAGTAGAAAGCTTCCATTTACAGCGTTGCACATCGCGCCCCCCTCTTCTCCCCACCCCACTTACCAACCCCCTTGTTATCTAACATAATGGTAAGAATAAGTTCCCTCCTCCCTCCTCTTAATAATTTCAAGCATTAACATCCTCTTCACAGTCACACACTCACTCACACACACTCACACACACACACGCAAGCTTGCGCGCAAAAAAAAAATGCAAAAGGAAAAAGAAGCAGCAAAAATCTCAGCTGTACTTCTAGCCCTTTTAAAAAGTTTGCTCTGTAAATTGGAATGAGGTCAGATTTGGAGCTTCTCATTGCACGCGGTGATTATTATTGCATCGGGTTCCAAGCCAATGGGAACTTTGGGGGTGGGGTTTGGCACGAGGAAGCGTTGGTTACAGCGGCTGATTGGCTGGGGTAAAGACAGTGAAAGGATAAAGAGGCGCGAGGCGGAATTGGGGTCTGCTCTAAGCTGCAGAAAGGGAAACAGTGTGTGAGGGGAAGAGGCCAATTTCACTCCCCCGGTGTCTCTAGTTCTCGTTCTCTCTCTTTCTTTAAGGGTGTGCATAGGGAAGAAGAGAAGGAACTCTATAATTAGCTCCCTTTTTTTGCAGAAGGGGAAAAAGCATACATTTATTAATGCCATTCTGTTGCACGAGTACTTTTTTCTGGCTTAATACCTCGCAACCAAATAATTGCACAAACTCCTTAATACTGATTCCGCCCACAGAAGCGAGTCCTGGAGTCAGACTCTTTTTTGCTTTGCATGGTCGGAAAGAGACTAAGTAATACAGACTATGTTGCTTTCTTGAGCGCTGAGGGCACTTGTGAACTGGAATCAACTGCTGCAGGGTGAAAAAAAATAACACTGCCTGGGAGGAGGAGGAAAAAAAAAAAACTTGCATTGGACGATTCAGCAACCAGCATTAAAGAAACTACTCTCCACTTTAAGGCGGTCTCCAGATTTTCAGAAAGCGAGGGAGACAGCCAACGGCACCACGGTGAGAGAAGAGCTTGCCTGGAACTACAACTCCTCATCAAGGGACTGAGTATTTTTTGGGGGGGAGGGGTGGCGGGAGGGCATCTCTTCGGGACTTTCATTATCCACTCGCTCCACCACCACCTCTCCCGTGAAGTTGAGGTTTCCCCTCACCTCACTCGCCCCATTTTTTCTCCTTTTTGGTGTGTGTGTGGGTGGGTGTGGTGTATTTCGTTTTGGGTACTTTGGAGGGTGGGGGGGGACCCTGGCGAGCGATCGTGCAGCTGCCGCCGTCAGTGTGTGAGCTTGAGCCGGGGAGATGGTGCAGCAGACGAACAACGCGGAGAACACGGAAGCGCTCCTGGCCGGCGAGACCTCCGACTCCGGGGCCAGCATCGAGCTGGGCATCGCCTCTTCCCCGACGCCGGGTTCCACCGCCTCCACCGGCGGCAAGGCGGATGACCCAAGCTGGTGCAAGACCCCCAGCGGGCATATCAAGCGGCCCATGAATGCTTTCATGGTGTGGTCGCAGATCGAGAGGCGAAAGATCATGGAGCAGTCTCCAGACATGCACAACGCCGAGATCTCCAAACGGCTGGGCAAGCGATGGAAGTTACTCAAGGACAGCGACAAGATCCCTTTCATTCGGGAGGCGGAGCGGCTGCGCCTCAAGCACATGGCAGACTACCCAGACTACAAGTACCGGCCCAGGAAGAAGGTGAAGTCGGGTAACGCCAGCTCCAGCTCCTCCTCCACCTCCTCCTCGACCTCCTCCAAGCCCGGGGAGAAAGGAGACAAGGTCAGCGGCGGCGGCGGCGGCGGTGGCAGCGGCGGCAGCGGCAGCAGCAGCTCGGGAGGCGGGGGAGGCGGCGGCGTCGGCGGCAGCAGCAGCAGCAGCAGCGCCAACTCCAAACCCGCGTTGAAAAAGAGCTGCGGCTCCAAGTTGTCCGGCGGCGGCGCGGGTGGCGGAGGCGGCAAACCTCATGCCAAGCTGATCCTGGGAAGCGGCGGCGGTAGCAGCAAAGCCTCCGCCTCCTCCTCGTCCTCCTTCGGCCCGGAACAGACGGCGGCCGCTGCTGCCCTGCTCCCCCTGGGCGCCCCTGCTGACCACCACTCGCTCTACAAGTCCCGGACTACCAGCACCTCCTCCACTTCTTCCTCGGCCTCGTCCTCTTCCTCGGCCTCGTCCTCTTCCTCGGCCTCCTCCTCCCTCTCGGCCTCCAGCAAACACCTGGCCGAGAAGAAGCTGAAGCGCGTGTACATGTTCGGCCTCACCTCCTCGTCCCCCGTGAGCGGGGCCGTGCCCTCCAGCCCCAGCCTGAGCGGGGGCCAGGAGAGCAGCGACGCGGGCAGCCTGTACGAAGAGGGCGGTGCGGGCTGCCCGCCCGACGGGCACAGCCTCCGCGGCAGCGCCGCCTCGTCCCCAGAGGACGGCGGCTCCCCGGCCGACCACCGCAGCTACGCCAGCCTGCGGGCCGCGTCGCCCACTCCCTCCACGGCGCACTCCCACTCCTCTTCGTCCTCTTCGTCCTCCTCCTCCTCTTCCCCCTCCTCCTCATCCTCCGTCTCCTCTTCCTCGGATGAGGAGTTTGAGGACGACCTGCTGGACCTGAACCCCAGCCCAAGTTTTGAGAGCATGTCTCTGGGCAGCTTCAGCTCCACCTCCGTGCTGGACCGGGACCTGGATTTTAATTTCGAGCCCGGCTCAGGCTCACATTTTGAATTCCCGGACTACTGCACCCCGGAGGTAAGTGAGATGATCTCGGGGGACTGGCTAGAGTCCAGCATCTCCAACCTGGTCTTCACTTACTGAAGAGAGCGAGCGAGAGAGAAGAGGGACGGGAGGAAAAAAATTTTTTTAAAGGAGAGACAGAGAGGAGAGGAAAAAAAAAAAAGAAGACACGAAGGAGAAAATGGATAAAGGAAGGGAGGACAAAAATAAAAAGAAGTGAGGGGAAAGATTTCGCACACCCACGCCCACTTAACAAGTTACAGTATCCAGAGGAGTGAGTGATTTCTCTGCCCTCCCGGTGCGGTTTTTTTTTTTTTGGGCGGTGTTCCCCACCCCCACATTGACACCGCACCCCCAGCCTCCCCCCACCCCGGGTTCGTAAAACTGACTTGTTCGAAAAGATTGAAAAGGGGGACCTGGAAGGAGCAGGGTGGAAAGTATGGTTCTTTTGTTAAAACTACATTTCCACCCCTTGCTTGAAGAGACACCCCCACTGCTACCCCACCCCCAAACCAACAACACAGGCACACAACCAACTCACACAAACAAACGGACACTTCCGGACGTCTCACCCCCAGGAAAAAAAGCCAGGTTGTTGCTTTTCCTTAGACTGCTTGGAGTGGCTCCCTATTCCTCCCCCTCTTCCCCCTTTTGGTGTGGGTTTTCTTTCTTTCTTTTTCTTTCTTTCTTTCTTTCTTTTTTTAAAGAGGAGAGAAGGAGATACAATCCTACACACCTTGGGGGGTTGTTTTCGGCCCACTTCATCTGAAGAAGGAAGAAGTGCTACATTGTGTTGTAATTTTTGCATAGTTACGTTTTTTTCTTTTTTCTTTCCTTGAAAGATCCCGACTGGTAGGGGGTGATTTGCGCGCCCGCGCATGCAAGCCAGAACTGAAGCCTTCCTTTGCTACAAATTCCAGTTTGGTGTTTTTTTTTTTCTTTCTTTTTCTTTTTTTCCTTTTTCCTACAGCGGGAGGAGATGGAGGGCGGGGGCGGGAGAGGAGGAAAGATTGAATTGTGCTAAGAAACGGGCTGAGAATCTAGTTGGAAGGAAAACGTGAGGGGGGGTAGGGGGGTGGGAAAGAAAGGAGATGAACTGGAAATGGGGAAAATAATAATAAAACAAACGGATTTGCACGTATAGAGGAGAGGGTAGCAGCGCTTTTTCTCGGCCACCTTCTTATATATATATGAAACCAGTAAGATGGAACTTCATAGACACTGAAAAGTTTTGGAAAGGAGACATACAAAACGTGAAAGTTTCTGTATTGATGTGGTACAGGGGAAATGGAGGGCGATTGCTTTTAAAAAAAAAACATTTTTTCTTCTCTTAATCGGAATCGTGATGGTGTTGGATTATTTCACTGGTGGGGTTAATATAGCATGTTATCCTGTCTATCTTTTAAAGATTTCTGTATAAGACTGTTGAGCAGTTTTTAAGATAAATAGTGTAGGATAATATAAAAAAAGCAGATAGATGGCGCTATGTTTGATTCCTACAAACAACAAAAAATTATCACCAGCTTTTTTTCATTCTTAACTCTTTAAAGGATTCAAACGCAACTCAAATCTGTGCTGGACTTTAAAAGAACAATTCAGGACCAAATTTTTTCTCAGTATGTATGTGTTTCTTCCTTATAGGTGTAAGTGAGAAGACTGTGGTCTTTTTTTTTTCCTCACCGATGCTCCATCCTCGTCTTTTTTTCCTTGTAAATGTAATCAGATGCCATTTTATATGTGGAAGTATTTATACTGGCCAAACATTTTTTACTTATTTTGTCCCCCTCCCCCCCTTTTTTTTGGTAGTTCTTGTTACCCACACCATTTTATGTCTCCTTCACTGAAGGGCTAGAGTTTTAAGTTTTAATTTTTTATATTTAAATGTAGACTTTTGACACTTTTAAAAAAACAAAAAAAGACAAGAGAGATGAAAACGTTTGATTATTTTCTCAGTGTATTTTTGTAAAAAATATATAAAGGGGGTGTTAATCGGTGTAAATCGCTGTTTGGATTTCCTGATTTTTATAACAGGGAGGCTGGTTAATATCTCTCACACATTAAAAAAAAAAAATCAGCCCCTAATTTCTCCATGTTTACACTTCAATCTGCAGGCTTCTTAAAGTGACAGTATCCCTTAATTTACCACCAGTTTCTACTCTCTAACCTCACTCATTAAAAAGGAGAGAATAAGCTGATAACACTGTATGCCAACAAGGAAAAAAAAATTAATGAAATGATATACTGTACAGATGCTTTAAAACTGGTGTATTTTCAGCAAATAGGGATCCTGTAGCTTTAACGTATAAACCATATCTTTTTGCACTTTTTTTATAAGCAAAAACGTGCCGTTTAAACCACTGGATCTATCTAAATGCCGATTTGAGTTCGCGACACTATGTACTGCGTTTTTCATTCTTGTATTTGACTATTTAATCCTTTCTACTTGTCGCTAAATATAATTGTTTTAGTCTCTTATGGCATGATGATAGCATATGTGTTCAGGTTTATAGCTGTTGTGTTTAAAGATTGAAAAAAGTGAAAACATCTTTGTACATTTAAGTCTGTATTATAATAAGCAAAAAAAAAAGATTGTGTGTATGTATGTTTAATATAACATGACAGGCACTAGGACGTCTGCCTTATTAAGGTAGTTCCGTTAAGGGGATTTTTTTGTTGTTTTCTTTTTTTGTTTTTGTTTTACTTTTTTTGGTCATCCATCCTGTGCAATATGCTGTGTAGAATATTTGTCTTAAAAATCAACGCCACACCACAATGTTTTGGGAAAAAAGAAAAAAAAAAGAAAAAAAATCATGCCAGCTAATCATGTCAAGTTCACTGCCTGTCAGATTGTTGATATATACCTTCTGTAAATAACCTTTTTTTTGAGAAGGAAATAAAATCAGCTGGAACTGAACCCTAAAACTTGACTGTTTTGTCATTATTGTGTCCCACAACTAGGACTGAAATAACTGAGCACCATCTGCCTTTGCTAATAAATAAGTAAATGCCCTCAAAGGGAGGTGCCTGTAAAAAGCAGTCTCTATTCAGGAACACTAAACTCTTTCTTTTGCCTGGAAAGACTTGGCAGGCCTCAACCTTGAAATGATGGCTGCTGGACTGAAATGTGTGTCAACTCCAAATGCTCTCGAGGAATTTCCACATATTAACCAAATACAAAGAAAACCTTTTTTTTTTTCCTGGACATGAGAAAAATGGCAAAGGACAAAGTGAGCAAAATCTTGGCACAGCATCATGACAGCAGAGGAAAAATGTATTTTCTCCAGATGGAACTGGCTGTTTTCATCTGCTTCAGTTTAAGCCCATCAAACCACCTTCAGGTCATTTCAACAGTCACCATCTAGAATTGGGTAGAATTATTCATTTCATATGCAGGTAGAAGCAAGGACAACAAACAAGCTTATTTTAAAACATCATTGGTGTGAAAATGACTGGGGAAGCATCAAACGATACTGATACTGAAGTGTTAAAGTGATTTTTAAAAATTGACATTAATTTCTGAAAGAGGATTGAAAACAGGTTAGGTTTTGTGCAAACTGACATTTATGGACTGATATTGTTTTTGAGTGCTGTCCAACGAGGATATTAATACAAAGGGGCGAAACAGTAAGAATGCCCTAGGGTAGTCTATTCGTTGAGTGATAAGGGGAAAGACATCTCGCCCACACTCAGTGTAAGGTACGTATTAGCCATATCTAGTGAGAGGAAAAAAAATGCATGGTTTTTATGAGCATCTACCACAATACATTACTGAGTCTTGCCTGTTAAAGGGAAGATATACTAGCTGTCCCTTAATATTTGGTTTATAATGTGCATTTTATCAGATAACACCATTTCTTGGTTATTTTGTAATTAAAATTTTAAAAAAATAAGCTGCCCCGTTCCCATCTCCAAAATGTTTATTTAAGAAATTTTACAATTATTAATGGTTTTCCACCTCTGTAGAGGGAGATGGAAGCAAAGATGATAAAAAAAGGGATTTGAAATACTCCTGTGATCAATGTGGATGCCTCTTGGTAAAGGAGATGATGATCACCCTAGGATGCAAGACACGGAGCAGGAGAAATGCATGGCAGGCACTACTGATAGGAACTAAGCAGTAGAGTCAGTGGAAAGTAAAATGCTTCCACAATTAACACAGCTTATGATATGCCAATAAAAATTCACCTCTTTCTTAAAGATGACAATTACGACTATTTTTCCTCCTCTAGACTTTCTAGCAACTATGACACATAAGTGTAACCTTTACTGTTGTAATTTCCCATTTTTCAAGTTAACTGTAATCTCTAGACAACATTGGGTTTGCTGGGGTTTTACAATGCCAAAGGGAATACTAGCAGTGCCATGTGCATTATTATTTCCCAAAATTTTGAAATTTTTTTTATAGTAATGGTGAGAATTCATTATTTTATTTTGAGGATTGATTTATTGCAATGACTTGAAATCCTTAAAATCTTGACCTAAGGAAACAACTCTTTTGGACTGGACTTTATGTCATTTGATTTTTCAGGGTTTTTTGAGATGGAGAATGTTCATATTTTCACTCTCCCAACTTCCCCAGTTCTGAGGTTTTGTGAAATCTTTTAAAAGGTTTGATAATATTGCCATAAGAATTAAGGTATAAATATTTTTGTCCCTTCACCAAGTAATACAATAAGTGCCAAAAGTGCTTTTTTGTTTTCAATCTCTGAGTTTCCATTCGCTAGGGTTCCAGACATTGCAAGTATAATAAATACTCAAAGGAACCTGACTGTTCAGAATGGCTCACTTGCTTGAGATAATCCAAAGTCCTAGTAGAAAATTGATCTGATTAATCTTTTTCCTCCTAAGAATTTCAATTAACCAAGCTTCTGGCACTCCTGTGATCCATCAGACTCCATGATACTTGTTTAGGCAAGTTTTTTTTTTTTGTTTTTTTTTGTTTTGTTTTTGTTTTTTTGTCAATTCCGGGCTGCATCCCCTGAAATGCCAAAAGAAAGTAGAGAGGGTGCAACCTGAGAAGATGGGCTAAGGGAATGAAAGCTTCCTGGATATTCACACTGCTTGTAGATAGGCACAAAATGATTCAGGGAGGAGAGAGAGAGAGATAAAGTAAAAGGACTAGTCGTATACATCAGCATTTTTTGCATACAGAATATTATAGTAAGTCTGGTGCAGGGGTAGGAGAATATGCATTTTCCCAATTTAAAATTTACATATTACTGCAATTATTGAAGCTTGATTTTTTTTAAGCTTGTTTTTTAGGCCTCCAAGATGGCATTTTGAAAAATCCCCATGTCTAAAACCTGTATGATTTCTGCTAGCAAGCAAATGGAAAGCAAACATACAATTCCTTAAAGCACTTGGGTTTCAGGAGGCAGGGTTGGATTGACCCAACAACTTATTTATTCTTCAAAGCCTATAAAACAATCCCCTGGTGTGTAATTACTCCTATTATACATATGGCCATTCTGAGCCTTCCATGGAGTCATGTATCATTCCCCCATCCTCATTTGAAAAGCTGAACCAAAATGAATGAGAAGGAGTCTTTTTGAGTAATTCCATGATGCCTTTCTAAATTATTATCTATGTCTCATCATGATAAAGTGAGTAAGAGGCTGCTCTCCAAACAAATCCAATTATTCATTGTCCCTCTGTGTGGTAAGGGAGAGCCATTGGTGGCAGTAGTCTTATTTCTTAGATTTGTAAAATATCTTTCTTCAAATAGCCCACTGTACTTTCTCAAAAAAAAAAAGCTGTATATTGTATGTACATATTGTCAGGCTATCATTTCAAGTCCAGATTATTACAGTAGTTTCCTAACTTGTTTCACTGCCCCTCATCTCTCTTCTTATTCAGTCAATTCTATACTTTTCTGCTAGATGAATTTTCCTTAAGCAACACTTTATCATGTCTCTCAGTCAGAAACCAATGGCTCTTTTACCCAGAGACTAAAGGCTAATT